AAAACTTGTCTACTTTTCCGTGCTCCAAAATGGTGTTAGTTTAATAGCCCCAAAATTTTATTTAATTTTCTTTGAGAAGAGATATCAAACTATTCTTGGGTTGTAATATCTTGAGTAAAGGTCATGTACCAGCGGAGATATCAGGCATGAAAGATGAGCAATTTTGAGGTTGAAAACAATTGCCGAAACTTGCATGTTTTTAAAACATACCTTTCCATAACATTTTAGCGAAAAAAGCTCGAAAGTACACATCATTCCCTTGTAAATACTGGTGCAATTTTTTATTTCGATTCAATAATTATTCATCAAATGAAAGACAGTGAAGCATACCCCAAACGGGACCAATGAAACTCGCCCAAAACACAGGAAAACGAAAATGCCTTCTCTCTGCGAAAATGTTTAAGCTATCGATCTAATTCTATTTTTTCTGTGATAAGTTACCATAGACCAACATTGTGACAAAGTTTGTAATTTTGGCGAATGGCGAATTTTGGCGAATTTTGGCGAATGACACGCTGGGGCTGACCGTTACAGATTATGGCTCTTAATTGCGCAACTTGACAGTACAAACTGAGGCGGGTGTAACAAGACACANAATGTTGTGTCGACAATGTCCAGTCGTCCTGATGAGGCGATGCTGTCCAAGCTCGTCCTGAACTGGATATCGTACTCATACACTGAAGACCAGCGGAATTTACGATTTGCCTTTTGTATGATGGAGCGATATCGTGCCAGCTCGTTGTACCGCGTGTGATCGCTTGACATTAGTTGTCCCTCGTAGATCGTCCACGCCTCYAACCAATGATCGAAGGATTCAATCGTTGCGGGTCGTTTGTTTTCGGTGTCCATGGTCGTTTTCCCTTGTGTTTTGGGTAGTAAGGTATATAAATCGACATATGCSTGCATACTATCGGATTTACCTTCGGATGGTTTAGGCTTGTGATTGTTCGGGGCACAACCCCCTTCTCTGTCGTTGAGGCGAGACCGCATGTCGTCCTGTTCCATCTTTAGCGCTCCTACCTGTTTGGACAATGCTCTAATCGCTTGTAAGATTTGTCCGTTGGGTGAGCTGCCATGATCCAAGGACAGATCTTCGTCAGAGTCGGGCTTGAGGCCTTCGCAATGCTTCCCCGGCGGCCCGAAGGAATGGAACGCTTTTGCTGTTTTGCAGCCCGGGCAGAGACTTGATCTAGTCTTCTTCGATGACATTTCGATAGATTTGATATTATTTACAATGAGTAGAACTAGTGTTATAGCGAAATATACGRGAGTAAAATAAACAACGAACGAGGCAAGACGCAACGCGGTATGACACCGGATACACTCGTAACCTTCCCATTCCCCATTAAACTATATTAATTATTAACTAATATCACTAATATATTAGTTAGAAACATTGATTTTTGATAGAATGATATGCTGTTCTACTTACGGTTGACGTTAGAGGTTTGTTAACTTGATTTAGTTCGGCGAGTTTGACACTACCGTCAAGAATTCCACAAAGCGTTTTAAAACTTTCATCTTCGTCACACGTAGTGGTGAATGCTTTTAAATGTATACGTCGAAATTTCCTTTGACCTGAGAATTATTGGTGCCATTTCTTCGATTTGGCACACTTTCTCCCAGTTCCTCTGACTGAACTGGGCAATCTGCTCATATTTACGAAAATCCTACAAAAAGCGAATGCAAAATCCATGAATGTCTATCTCATAATAAGATATTTTTTCATTGCAAAAACTTACCGATATGTACGGAAATCTGCTTTTATTATGACTTTTCCACAGTTTGATCGATTTGTCTTTCGATGTCGCGGACCTCGAGATAATATCCTGGAGATTTACGCGCATCAGGCGCATCGTATCCATAAAATTCGGTGTTTTGTATATCACATATCCGTCAGTTCCTGGTGGCTTATAACCAAGAGGCGCTGGAGCAATTTCGGGTAGAGAGTTCATGGCTGATGTCCTCGTGTATGAGCGATCAAAGTGACTCAAAGTGATTCATTTATCACTGAATTTGCGGTTATGTGATAATGGATGCGTACGTCATATCCGGAAGCTATTGATTTGTGAGATAATTACTCTGTCGAGTTATAAAAACAAACAAAACAAAGTTGATCCAGATCCACTTTTGTATAGCCACATTTTTTTATAAATATAAGTCCGAGTTATAAAAAAAGAGAGAAGAAATTAATACGATAACAAAAGGGTTTAAGAACTCATGACAACTTGGGTGGTGCACTTATTTCCGATTGTTGAGACCACAAACCCTGACAACGAGATGGAGAAGATGTGAGCTTCTTGTAACAAATTCTCTGTAGGAATACACATCTTACCATTGATCAATGAATCGTGTTTTTATTTTTATATATAAATTTGATGGTATCAAAGTAGCGCTAATGTTGACAGACAAATTGATAATACAGTACAAACACTAACACAACAACCGGCCACTCCCACAACACTAATTCGCTTTTGAGAGATATGATATTCACTATCAGCCAATGTCAATGGGACAAGGCTCCATTAGGTTAGACGGCGGGAATTTCAAAATCAGTTAAACCAAAGTTCATGTCAAGAGACTAGAGTAAACTCGCGAACTAATTGAAAAAGCGCCTGTATTGAATACTAAGTAGAATCTTTCTCCCGGTCGATTAATACTTCATTAGAACAATAGACCAAGAAGAAAATGCAGCTTTCAGTCACTGGAAACACCAGGAAATAAAGTTTATAGTATGTTTGGCTGTTGGAACTTGTGAGCTGCCGCCAAAACTTGGTCGCGAGACTCTTCGTGAACGTGCCTAGTGGTAAGTCAAATAATCTTAATTAAATTTTGATAAGAAAAATTCCACTTATATATTCAATAAAAATTACGACTTTTTGACTCGGTATAGTTGAATGGTTTCTTTGCCTTTTGCCCCATCACCAGAAAACATCTAAATCTAAAAATAACACGATGCAAAAAACGAATTGCTACTGACACTCTTATAATATATAGCAAAAATTTATTTTTTCCTTTTTCAACAGGGACACACAATATATATA